ACAATGTGGCACTCACGTCGATCCAGCCTTTGGTCCCAGGTCTCCGTGCAGCCAAAAGTGGCAGGCCGTATGGGGCGACATCGGACAATGTGGCATGCACAAACGCCCTCCGGGTCAAGTACAGGAAGACACGCGGACACATATCCATGCTTTCGGATAAATGGCGCGCCGCAGTGGCCAGAAGCTTACAACGTGGCACCCACCCCAACATGGGCTCGGGCACAGTTCTCCTTTGAGTCGAAAATCGAGTACCACATCGGGCAAAAGGGGCTTCAGACGGAAGCAGCAAAACTGAAAAAAAAAAAAGGAAAAAAAAAAAAAAAGAAGAAAGCAGCTCATCGGCCCCTATACAAGGGCGACGGCTCTCTTCAGACGTGGATGACCGTTGTTCAAACATTTGAGGAGGGGTGGGGAGCCTGAAGGTGGGGGAAACCTTTGGAACAAAGGGCCGAATCTCAACAGATCGTGACGACAAGGCCACTCTACTGCTTACAACACCCCGTTCCCGGTCTAAGTCGTCTGCAAAGGGTTTGACTCCCCGAGCGAAAGAAATTGCGATGAAGAGACCCCCAGGGCGTCGGTGCTCCGCCGCAGGAGGGACAACTCTGAACTTCTGCTTTCGGGGCCAGACCGGCTGGCCCTATCGACTGCCTTGTGTCATCCGAGGAGGCATACGCCATCGCTGCAAGCACAGATTCTAACTTAGAGGCGTTCAGTCATAATCCCACGCACGATAGCTTTGCACCGCTGGCTTTTCAGCCAAGCACAATTGCCAATTGTGCGAATCAACGGTTCCTCTCGTACTGGGTTGGATTACCATTGTGATGGCGGTGCATCAAAAACTAACCTGTCTCACGACGGTCTAAACCCAGCTCACGTTCCCTGTTGGAGGGTGAACAATCCAACACTTGGTGAATTCTGCTTCACAATGATAGGAAGAGCCGACATCCAAGGATCAAAAAGCAACGTCGCTATGAACGCTTGGCTGCAACAAGCCAGTTATCCCTGTGGTAACTTTTCTGACACCTCTAGCTTCAAGTCCTCAAACGCTAAAGGATCGATAGGCCATGCTCTCACAGTTTGTATTCGTACTGGAAAT